AAAAAAAAAAAGTGCTGATGCTTCTTAGCATGTTTTGTATTTCATATTATAGAGTTAGTCCTTTAGAGCATCCTGGCATCTGAGCTTTGTGTGTTCTTTAAATGGAAACCAGGAAAATGGTGGTTGATCTACTCAAATTTATTTATTTATTTATTTATTTATTTATTTTTGAGACAGAGTCTCATTATGTTGCCCTTGATAGAGTGCTGTGGCATCATAGCTCACAGCAACCTCCAACTCCTGGGCTGAAGCGATTCTCTTGCTTCAGCCCCCCAAGTAGCTGCGACTACAGGTGCCCGCCACAGCGCCTAGCTATTTTTTTGTTGTAGTTGTTATTTTTATTGTTTGGCAGGCCTGGGCTGGGTTCAAACCTGCCAGCTCTGGTGTATGTGGCCGGCACCCTAGCCACTGAGCTACAGGCACCGAGCCAATCTACTCAAATTTATCGTCATTAGTCATCAGCAAGTTTTCATTCATTTATTTAGTAAATACTAAGAGCCATTCCTTACCCATGTTGGTCAAGAGTAATTTCCCCACAATGACATATTCCATGTCTTTATTTCTCTTAAATAACCATTTCTTATGCTTTATTACTCCAAGTGTGGTTCCCAGAGTAGCAGGATTGGTATTTGGGAGCTTGTTAAAACTGCAAGCTGAGGATTTAACCTGTTCCTATTAAATCAGAGTATGCATTTTAACAACTTTTCCAGCTGATTGATCGTACATTAAGATTTAAGTTGCATGGCTTTAAATATGTTATTAAGTGTGAAATGTCTGATTTCCTTAAGTACTAAGTATAACAGTTGATATCTCTGACATTTTGCTTTGAGGCACTTCTGTTTTATTTTTATTGTGAAAATACACCCTCATTTTTCCAAACACGTGCTATGGCTTGTGATTATCTTTAAAATTTTTTTAGAGCAATTTTTGTGAAACCAGGATAAGTCAAAAAATTTGTGTTATTTTGAATATGATGAGTTCCATTAGCTGGTGCAGTGCAGACAGCTCGAAATAGCAACAGAGTGTTTGGGAAGGATGTGGCTAATGCACAGTAGTCCATGGTTTGGTAAGTTCCTTTTCGAAAACATTTATTTCGAAA